CCTAGCCAAGGCCGTACAAAAAAACGAAAATGTTAATTATAATAGTTTTGAAATTTTTTAATCTCATCTGTCGGTTGATCCATTGAGAGTCTCCTAGATCCGCCTTTGATCTAGATATGGATACACAAGGTGAAAATCACCTCGCACGCATACAAATTCACGATCGGCTTGAAGCGAGGAGTTTTTCGTCTTTCTCAGGTTGCAATGGATGTAAACTGTGACAACAACAGTACGTTGTTTTACGGTGACACATGCAGGTATGCGCGCGACGTCGGTAGCATTTGCATTTAAGTCGTATTGCCGTATCGATTTACCGAATTACCTGTACGATTGTTGCACATTGTACGCAATGTAATTACAGTGCGGCACACGACGATGTGTACCGTTCCTTCGTCGCGCTCGGTATAGTTCATTTATAACGTCTAACGTTACGCACTAAATCCCCTTCCCCTGACTTTTAATACCGCATTCACCATAGTGATCAAGATTATACACACATGCACATACGCACGCACGCACGCACGCACGAATACATACACAGGCATATCGTACAAAATGAATTGTAGTATAGTGATAAATGCGATAACGTCGTAATCGTCATATTGTCGAGACCAACTAAACAACTAAACAGCCTTTTAAGTACATATTTACATACGAGAGAAGTAATGTCGATCGAAAGTTCGTCGTCGACAGGACTAGGTGGTCTGTTGTGCGCGTGTGCCAGGTAGTTTAATGTTCGTTTAATTCGTCAAACTCTGGCGAATTTCGCCCGAGCGAGATGTAACGCACAAGCGGAAAATGCAGATTGCGCGTATCAATGCCTGGCATCGTGGTCATTGATTTAATCGTCGAAATTAGGCTGAGGGGCTGCCTGCACTCGGTTTTCATGACCTGCGTGTGCGCATAATCATTATGCGAATATTGTATGGAACTGAATATCATTAAACGATAACCGCTCGATTATTCGTCATTAATTCCGCTATTATTAACTATCCATTGGAAATGTGTGATGATAAGTTGCGTTAAATCTGCATTTTGTCTTTTTTAATCATACATGTTGCATCCTGATATTCGGAATATCGAAGAGTATTTCACAAAATCTCTTCGATCTTTACGCGGTATTTAAATTCCGTTTTTGATTACGATATATTTTACGATTGACAGAATCGGATATAAGAGATAATGATTCTTATTATGTTTGACCGCGTTCGCGTGTTTAAGAATTAATATAATTAACGTTCAATTTTAATGAATCTAAACGTAATAAGAATTCTTGTCTTCAATATCGGCGATGAAGATATAATTTGTGGAAACTCGAAAAGTTTAGTGAATGCGAGGGGAAAATTTTTTTGCGTGGTCTCACACCATCGAACGCTAACGAGTCGTCGCCATCGTCGTACGTCGCGTCTCGCACTCGATAGCGCACACAATGCGCCGACTTTTTATAAATCGTCACGTAAAATCCTCTTTCTCGTCGACGCATCGTGCTGCATACTAATTCGCGCCATGCCGAACGAACTAAAGTGGCTTTCTGCATTCTCTTTTTCGTTTTTCTGTTTATACTCTTTTTTTTTTTACCTCGTTGGTCAGATTTTCGAATCAAAAATATACACATCGCAGCGTAGTTATTGGAAATTTGCACATGCGAAAAATTGGCAAATACACGGCCGACCGAAAAAAGGTCGGCCGATCGATTCCGTTGTACTACGATGATCGAAAAAAATATTCCGATGAGTACTTAATATCTTGATATTCGACGGTAAGAATAGGTCGACGTGTCAAAAACATCATATATTACATACATACATTTGGAAGTCTTTAGTTTACTGCCATTGGAAAAAGAAGACATTCTAGTCGCGACGAATCTTACAATGATCGAAATAATTGATTGAAGAACATAGAAGAGATAAATATGAGGTAGTTTGATTTGTCCAATATTCAAAAGAATAGACGAAAGAAGACGTTGTCTGATCTAGTCTGACTCTTTTCACTTGTTTCATTCATATGTCAGTTACTTTCGAAATCATCCTTCATAAGAAGCATTATAGCGAATCAAAATGATAAATCAAGAGTAGAGAAGATAAATACCGCATAAATTAGGCGGTAGAATTTGTCGCTTATTGTATACGAACGGACCCGTCATCCATGATATCGCCTGACTTTTCCCACTTGTTTCCCTCACGCACGACAATCAGTTTCGGGATTCGCATAATTACATTCTCGAGATTCGACGAATCGTAACGGAGAATTTCCTTCACGGATACGGGTACGAGCTTGTTCGAGCGTGCACCACTGATACTGGGGTGAGGAGAGGGGGGGGGGAAGCAAGGGATGGAATAACGAAACCGCGGCACGCACCGCTTCTTTTATTTGCGTATCCTGCTATCCGAATGAAAAACGGCAACCGTCCGCCACGGCACTCTAAGCATATCGCGCCTCTCTATGTTAACTGTTACGCGATTATTTATTTTTTTTCCTTCCACGTTCTCGTCCTTTCTTTCTCTATTCTTCTATTTCAGTCGGTGTACTCGAGTCTCGACGTTCACATCCAGTATTATGCGGGAGTGGAATCTACTGCGCGCAGTCGGCGCACCGATTGTCGCTGAATACTAACACGCACACGTTGCGATTACCAAGCACGATTCAATCCGCATTTTAGCACAATTATTTAAGGTGTAAATTAAAACCACGAGTCGTACAGCATCGAACGACCAGCCGTTGTAAAAATTCACAGAGAATTATCGTAGCGCGATTTTTTCCACACGTAAAATTACATTTTGACCGATATACAGATATTTTATTCTTGTGAGCATGCACGTTTCGCGAATCTGCTTTGGCAGTGGTCGTTCCGTCTCGGTGCTGGTATAAAAACCGTATAAAGTTACTTTACAAACCCTATAAACTACTAAACGAACAGATCTATCTCTCTAGTTGCGGAAGAGACATGGAATACGCAAGATAAAAGTTTAATTCATCGTCGCACATCGCTCGCGTTTGTTTCGAATTTAAAAAACGACACGCGTCCACTTGGACATTTTGCAATGCGACGTCGACACAGTCGTACAATGTCATAAATATATCAACGTAAATTTATCCCTAGATCGCAGAGAAAATACATTGACATTTTCCAAAACGCGAACATTCTTTGTCAATTTTTTTTCTCTCCAGGAAATAACCTCGTCGAATTACTTTCATCGCGATAAAGGGGCTCTTGATACAAAAGTATAAGACTTGTGATATGAAGGAACAGACAAGGGTGCTCTTATCTCTTTCTGGACAGACATCCTTTCTTTCTTCCGTCTCGATCGTTTTCGGCCAATGTTCCGTTCGGGAAACGCGCAACGACGTCGTTTGCCAAGTGAGTTTGTTACGTCTCGGCTTTGTAACGCGACTCTAATTCGCGGCGGTAACGACCTCGCTGCTGCGCTTGTAACCAGAGTCGGAAATTATACCGACGTTTAGTTTTGCGCCTTAATGAGAGGCGCGCTCTTCGGAGAGGTGGTTGTCGGACGATGTTCTTCACGGACCTAAGTATCTAACATAAATGGCGATGTAAATTGACTCAAGTAGCAGATTAAGTTGAGAAGATTTCGCTCTTCCGTGTTTATTCATTCGACGACGCGTTTATTATCATGTTTACAACGTAAGATGCGAACAATCTCAGAAAAATATATACGTTAATGTTTATTCAATTCGCGTATTTTTGTCCTTACGAATATAAAGAAAAGATCATTTACTCACCATTTACTCCTATGATTTGTGCTGATACAGTTATCGTAGAGAAAATGTATTTCTCATCTACTAAAATGTGATTACAAAATAAATCACACTAAAAATTGTTTTTTCTTTGATTCGAAAAGAAAATGTTCGAACAAAAATGATTTGCTTTTTTCAGTTAAGTTTTTATATAATAGTTTGCATTTTATGAAGATAAACGTTTGACATAACGTTGTTCATATTTTTCTGATTGTCTCGTTGATTCGAATAGAAATACGATTACGTACGAACAATTCATATAAAGACAGTCGGCGAAGTAACAATCAGAAATGAAACAATAACATTTACCCCGTTGACGTAATATGAGAAAAAGTGCCGCTCATTTTTAATTAAAGCCGGCTGCACGTACGCGGAGCTGCGGACGTCCCGGAAAAGCGAAACGAGAGGAAAAACGAGCACGTCCGACCGAGCGCGAGCATATAGAGAGTCTCGTTTGCCGGTCACGAACGGCATTCTCATGTCGGTTGCTATTATAGTAAAGAATAAAAGTGGATGGAAATACCAAGAAACGACGATAGGCACGCGTTGCATGCACTTCGAACCTCCGGTATAGCGCTACAGTGCCATGTTCACTTCCGAGACATTCTATCCCTTCCATCCACGATTGAAAATGTATCGGAGAATACGATTCTGAAGAAGAAGAATGCAACAGAAGTATAGTATATAGCTGGCTAGCGATCTTGAATTATTACAATGCCTCGAAATCACGTTCGTACATAAATCAGCCGGATCCTTTCCGCAGGAAAGCCGAGAAAAGCTCTGCGTGCGATGTTTACTCTTTTTACTAAAAGCCATACGGCAGTTTTTATTGTTCGGTATGTACAAAGAGTAAATTTGTAATGTAAGTTTTTTTTTATCGCCAATTTATGGATATATATATCGATAAAAATTAATACAAATATGTTAATTGTGCGATGGAATGAAATTATTGGCGTTCAAATTAAACGCGTAGGAAAGTATAGTGTTCTTGTAGCAAGAGCCGCTGTAAGCCATTCTCATCGTGAAAATATTGAAACTATCTACCTAATATGTCGATATCGGCCAATTTTATCTTCTGGTTGTAATATCGGATGCAATTTTGTATCTTGAGATATGTTAGTGTCGTACATTTCGGATACACCCGCGATGATACTTTAATTCTGTTGTATGAAACGTCTAATTAATTAATGCCCTCGATCGATGTTTGACCGCGCGTTAATCCAGTGCAGAGGAGCATCGGGGGGGGGGGGAGGATTAACGGGCGTGTATGAGCGCGTACACGTGCGAGAGCGTGTAGAGTAGCTGGAGAAGCCGAGCATACATCGCGTCCGCTTGGAGAATGTCGATGCCGACATTGTGCGGCGTACCTCGCGTTGAACTTGATAAATGAAGGCGAATCGGCAAGTGTCGTCGCGCGGCCCACTACCTCTCTTCTCCGACTCCACATTCTACCCTCGCACTTTTTTCCCCTCGGTAGTCCGGCGACTGTCTGATTTTCCGACCAGGAGGAAGAATGGAGAGGTAACCGGTCGGCGGATGGGAGGCAACGGAGGAAGGGTCCACTAAATGTCCACCTCCGGCCGAAGGGCCGAGGGTCGCTATCTTTTTGCCCGAGAAATAAGGGGCTAGAGACAGGGACTTGATTATTCGGTCGGCGACAAGAGGCGTTCTTACGCGTGGTTGAGCCATTGTATTACTGGTCGTTGAAAACTTTTTTAATCACGTTCTTTCGTTGCGCGGATATTGGATATTACTTGTTTTTCGCGCTCACATGCATGGTACGCACACGCGCTTTCGGCTCAAGGCGTTTACCAGCACTTTTTTCATTCATTATTCATATTTTCTGCTACCATTTACTCCCGTTCGCGTTCGCGACAGCTCCAAGTTTTATTAATAGTTACGAACCCGACGTCGTCGATGGGGTTTTGGCGAAACGCGGTCGTACTGAATTATGCGGCGTCCCGAACAAGAAGTCGTTTACGAGTTCCTAAATGTATTTTAAATCGGTCACCGACTATAATAGCTATTCGCGCGCATCCCGATCGGTCGTAGTCAGTAGACGAGAAATATCTAAATGTCACATCTTCTGATTTCCGTTGGGAAAAGATTGATAGAACCAAAGAATTGTATAAAATTTTGCGAAATTGCTTTTTTTAAATAAGATCATTTCGACATTTGCAAATAATTTTATATAACGTATGTAAGTTATATTGATTTTTTTAATAGTTTCAAATGTATTATACCCTTAAATTGACTTAAATGAAAAAAATTATGCAAATTTTATCTCAGTATTTAAATGCGATTTAAGAATGAGAGCCGAAAGAAAATAATGAGCGATGAATTCTTCCGTAATGATTTGTTTAATGTGTTTCGACGAGAGGTAGACAAAGTACGTGCAATGTAAGAAACAAATGGGACAGCAATAGCGCGAGCAAGAATTATGAGCCACGCTGAGAGCGTCGCGCAGAAATTCGATATTATACTCGAAGCAGCCCACTTGTGTACCACTTGTATGTACATAAAGACAAATAGACAGTTGTCTAAATGAAAAAAAAAAAAAAAAAGAAAATTGCGAGAGCTAATTGAATTGGACGTATCTCGCATTTTTCGCGCACACTTGATCGATTAGAACGATGCGTTTCTCGTTGCCACTCTCACCGCGTACACCATTCTTGCGCTCGCGTGCACGCTGTATACGAATTGCACGCATGACCGACTTTTCTTCATTATTTTCTACCTTCTACGGAAATACTCTCCCGAGAAGTAGAAAAATAAATTTACTTGATATCTCGCGATTTATTTTATCTTTTGCTAACACGGGACGGGTCCGTATTTGTAGGATTGCGTAAACAATGCAAATACATATATGGAGAAAGAAAGATTCTGCATATTTGAATTAATTAAGAGGATTTCATTTTAATCCCGTGCTGTAAAATATTTTCATCCGACGCTCCGTATGCATGCTGCTTTATTTCTATTAATTCTTACGGAAAGAAGTGCATAATTTAATTCGTTGTATGACAAAGATATGATCGCTAGTCGAAATCTTGCACATTGCTTTAAAGATACCGCTGTCGATTGAATTTTATTAATATTAATATTTCTCGAAAAATCCTTTTGTGCATTGTCACATAAACGTTTTTTGCTTTGTGACGTAAAAGATTCTGTTCTTCGTCGAATTTTTAAAACGCATCAAATAACGCGATTGAATTTAATGCAAATATCATTATACACGGCGAATCTCGCTTTGTCTCTGTACCTTTTGAGGTAACTGTCGGAACAGAAGGGTAATTACTGTTGAATCTCATAACGTGCAATTTCTATTTCGCGTAAGCTAATTGCGCTGCTTTAGACTCAACAACGTTCTTTGATTGTGAAGTAGCGCGATCGTGTTTAGTCGAGACAAATCCAAGAAATAATCCGAAAAATCACTACCCGTCGTCGATCGATAATCGCGTGCGGTACAGGCTTTTATCGCCCGCTAATTGATTTCGAGATACCGTGCGGGAGAAAAGAAAAGAAAAGCGATAAGAAAAGAGCCGAGACGCGCGATCCGATTACGCGGTAATCGCCTCCCGCAATACCTTACGATTTTAGCGTAGAAATTCGAGATTTCGTCGTTCGCTTCTCACCAGTGCAGTGGCCGGAAATGCGGTGTCAATATTGGAACACGAGACTGGAGGATCGACAAAAGGTTCCTTGTGCATGCCGCTAGGGAAGAATCGGTGTATCGCGGTACATACAGAGCTGGTACACACTGGTCGTAGTGACCGATGGTCGCACAGGCGCGGATTTCGAAGCGTATACTTGGTCAAAGCCGCGGTTGCATGGCAACGATTCGTTCTCCCATCCTCGATGCACTCGCCACCAACCTTGCTGGCTGAAAGTCCATGAGTCGGCAGACGTTTCGAGTCTATTCGAATTAATCGTGGAGAGAAAGACGAGCACTGTGGTGACGCGTACCTTCTCCGTGTTCTCAGTCGCTTTTCGCTCGAACGTGCTCTACACGTTCGCCCTTTCCACTTTTCGCTATCTGCGTTGTGTACAAGATGTCCCAGAAGACTCGCGTTTTCCTCGAAGCAGAGGTATTTGCAGTCGTACCAAAAAGAGAGTCGATTGTTTCGAGGGTCTCTAAGTTGTGAACGATCGGAATTCGAGGAAATACAAAACTTACTCGGTGAAGCCGAAATACAAATGAGTTAAACGAAAGTTGCGTTCCAATGCTCTTAAGAATTTGAAGGGAATTTTAAATTAAGGCCCGATCATCATCGCCGTGGCGAGAATGTAAACAAAATATAAAATAATGTAAAAACGAGTAATTTCAGCAACATCTTGAATACCATAATTTCAATTATTCTTTATTATAGTTTCATCAATGTGGAATTATGATTTGATGAATAATTGTACTCTCTCATTCACGTTTTTCGATCAACAGTCAAGTTTGTGATTTTACTTACGAATAAGTAACCTGTTGTTAATAAAACCGGTCATGACGATTCATCGACGGTTATTACGTATCGGGATTTCGTGATGTATTTCTCTTACGTGTATTATTGTATATTCGCAATCTCGAATCGCGCACGGTCTCATCGCTAAAAGCATCGTCCTGTGGTCGTCACGCTGCCCTTCCGGACACGTCGTCGTCGCTCGGTTGCATCGACAAACGGCGCGTCGTTGCGAAAGAGTTCATCGTTCCGGTGCACAGTCAAAAGCGTCCCCGTCGGATGCACATCGTCGCACGTATCTCGCTGCGGCTTCCATGACACCTGGGCAACGTTCGCGCAATTCGTGATGGAAAATACCTCTCTCTCTCTTTTTCTTTTTCTCTTTCACACAAACACTCATTCATTCATTCATTCTTTTTTCTCTCTCTCTTTTTCTTCACTGGAAAGTGCCTTCTGATTTCTCCCTTCGAAAATGCGCGATGGAATGGAGCAATTAGTAAAGTAGCAGACACAGGCAGAGCAGAAGAGAGTACAGCCTTGGTTGCTTGGCCTGACCGCCGTGCTGCATTGCCGCGGGATACTCTCCTGAAACAGAGGGCAACACTTAAATTTTCTGAAGACCCGCGGCGCTTGGCATTCTCGCTCGCCGTTTCCTCTCCTTCTCTTCTCCCTTCCCTTCGCATTGCCCTTTTTGTTGCCTAGCCCAAATGGAATGCAATTTAGCTAATTATTTCCCGTAATTGGCGCGGTTTCTCCTTAGAGAGATGCATTCTCCTATCCCAAAAAGAGAATTTGCTAATCCCAGATGAGTCATATAACCACGAACAGTCTTAGCGCCATCGGATATTGATTTGATATTAAAAGGATAAGTTCGAAAAATAGCTTGCGTCAATGATGAATCAATGACAGTTATTCAACGTCGAAAGTTAAAAATTTCCAACACGGTGGATCACAACTGTCACACGATGTTAGCGAAAAATCACAAAATTAATCGAATAAAAGCATTAAGAGATATAGACAAAAGATTTTTTAATAAATCAATAGCATTTTACATTGCAAAATTTACGTTAAATTTCTCATAAATTCAGGCTTCCGATATCATTTGACGTTTTGTTTTTAATGGACACGAATGTTGGTTGTTAATCACGAACTGACAAAAAGTCGGTATCGTTCTCGTATCATCGATTACTCACCGTTGAGTACGTGTACGGTGATCGATTTCGGTTGAGCATTACTGGGGTTACAAGTATACCGTCCCGAGTCCGACGGCTTCGCTTCTTGCACCAGGAGGAAACTCGTCGTGCTGTCACCCTTTTCCGTGACCACGGAGACGCCGCCTCTGCTCGAGTCGTAGCTGATTATCTGGAACAGAGATCGGACGATCGTCTTGAGACAAGGTGACGTCTCTCCGGTTGGACGAGAAGTCACGATGAGGATAGGAAGCGAACGAGAAACCGGCTAGCCAATGCCGGATACACTTTTTATTAGGCAGCCCCGATGGGTATTGGCTATGAAGACGACAGGCGCGGAGATAAGCCCATCGAAGGACTCCCTTTCGGTTCGCGGAGAGCACGGGCGAGGGTGGAAAAAATACGAGGTTTCTCTCCTTTAACGAGAATTCTTAGCGCGTTCTACAAGATCGACGATCGGAAAGAGGCTGTAAAGTACAGTATCCCGGGACGTCCGGTGATACGAGTAAGGTTCGCCCCCCGACGTGCGGTGCAAATTACTTTGCCGGCGACTTATGCCCTGAGGATATTTCCCAAGATAAATATTATTCTAGGTATGAACATTTTTCCGGCGGATCTCTATATATTGTTTAGCTTTTTATAATTTTTAATTATTCCCTGGAGTTATTCAATTTTCTTGAAATATAAGCATACGTATTTTAATTTTTCTACATAGGAAATATTGAAGAAAATGAAAAGATAATATCTGTAATATCTTGTTGAAAAAGTAAAACCTGACACTTTTTTTGTTATAAAAGATAAACTTCCGTTTTATTATTTAATAAAAGATCAATTTTTCTCGTGCTCAAAAAGATACTTGGACTATTAGAATAATCAAAATATTCCACGATTGTTATTTAAGTCTGCGCATTTACGCTGGAAAATTGGATGCAATGTCCAAATGCTAGTAGTGCACTCGTCTCAAGACCCGGACGAACGCCGTGTTTATCCTACGTCTGTTCCACTTGACAACGCTCACGAGTGTCGCTTTAACGCGAGGTTGGCAGAATCCAACATTCGGTATACGCGAATGAAAGGAATAAAGAGCGGAGAACGTCGCGAGAGCCAAAAAGGATTTTTAAATAAATAATCCGCAGCCGGAACCTTACGACAGTGTGCCTTCGACTGAGAGGCACGTAAGCCTTCTTAAGGGATTGAGAATCGTAGAGCATCCTTGACAACATGTTGTTGGCTGTGTTTCGGCGTTAAAAAATTCGGACGTCATGTCCTCTTAGAATTTTCTTGGTAAAAAGAAATGACGAATGAATAATCATTAATTTCTCTCGTACACTGTACTTTTCCTTTCAGAGGAACCGTTTTTCCAATACTTAAAATTTAGAAATTTTGTTAAAATACAATATTTTTCTTTATAATTCAATAAACAAAAAAAATCTAAAATTGTTATCATTTATAATAAAATTAAAATAGAAAATTATAGTAGATTAGTATAGGGTTAATTAATATAGTATAAAAGTTTTATTAAAGAGTCTCGTTGCTTTTCGATTATTTATTATAACTATTTACTTCGCAGTAAGTTTTGATATTATATTGTACGCTCAAATTTCTTTCATTCGCGAAAGGGCAAATCTAAATGATTGCTTCATTCTCAGAAGAACGAAATGCTTTTTTGAAGTTTCTTTCATTAAGTGTGCAAATATAAGCTATACTCGAGAAAATTTAATCTTTCCAGACTGCTGCATTCGCTGCGCAGCATCAAATCCCGAGGATAAGAATATATCGGTCGCCGAGCTGTTTATCCCCATCGTCCCATGGTCTCAAAGCGCGCGATTAATCGGACGAAAGTTAGCGGCTGCGCCGCCGCGCCGCCACCGCCGCGAGTTTGATAAGCGCCGCGCTACTTCCTTCCGTTCCGTTATCTAAACCGCGCGTTGCGGTCTAACGCAGAATAATATGCGAAACTTTCGTTGGAAAATCCATAGTTAATCCGACCGTATATATACGAGGCGCAATAATGCCAGCGCACTCAGACACGTGCATCCATGACGCGCTCTTCTGCCGCTTCTGAGAGTTGAACTTTCCTTATCCTATATGAAACGGGGCTCGATGTTGGGTTTTTACAATCCGCCGGTAACTCGCAAATTAATGTTTCGAAGGGCGCGCGCGTTCGTCCCTTTAGCTGCTCGTGCTCTGCTCTATACAAGCACGAAATTAAACAACGCCTACAAAGTTGTATTTCTGAAACTTACGTAACACAAACGTAAACTTACGTTTCAGGAATTCATTAAACTTTTACGATCCACCTGATATAGGAAGTTTGTGCGTTTTTGTAACGTAGGATACGCGAACGATAAACCGAGCATGATCGCTCTTAAATATTTTGCGATATATGAATATATGTTGAATATATATTGAATGTTTAATATGCTCTGCGTTGCCGTTTTCTACGTTACTCACGTTCGCGATACACGCGAATTATTGTAAACGACGTTCTTGTAATTACTCGGGCGAGCGATGTTTCGAATTGAATTGATTTTTATTTAATTCTACTCGATCATCAGGATGGATAAATAATATCCAATTTTCAGTTCATTAATCGTATAAAGTGCTGACTCTGCATTGACGATTGAATTAAAACAGCGACCAATTACTCACCGATTAACTCTCGTGACTGTAAATCGATCTGGAATAAATGAACGTTACATTTAAATTGAATATTTACATTTTTTGTTCTGTCAGATACAGAATGTTTATTATAATTAGTCCGTCTCTCTCTCTCTCTCTCTCTCTGACAAAAGACAATTATATTTTATACAATTTTAAATTTTAATCATTTACATGCGCGTGTTAATGTGTTAACATGATTTTTAGTTATTAAAAATAAAACGAGGTTAATATGATAAGATTATAATTACGATTAACTTTCTCGTTAATGTTAAATCAAAATTTTCTTTCTTATTTATTAATTTAAAGAATTTCAAAAAGGCCCACAAATTATATAGAAATTAAAGATTGTTAGTTAGCACGGATTCATTCAATCCATAAATTTATTGTGTTTGATATTATCAGCAATGAGAGAGTGCAACTTAGCGAATCAGATAATTTCGATGTGTCTTATGAATCCGTAATTTTTCAAAGTTTTAAGTGCGAAAAGTTTGCACGACTGAATAGGAGGCAAATGGAAATGTTTCGTCAATCTCGTTACATGTTTTTGCTGGAAATCAGCATTCCATGGACGTTGCTGGTTGGCTTCAATGGAACATCTCAGGCTCAATGAACCGTTGGAATGGGTTTCCTCTCTTCTGCTTCTTCATGGTTTAGTACTTTTGTTTTACCCGGCTTCGCTCGTGCATTCTGATAACTGACACTCTCCGTTCTGCATTTGACCTATTCTTTCTTGTGATATTCGTTCGTACATTCTTTCACTTTTCTTTCCCTCTTTATCAAATTTTATCTTTTCAATTTAGCACTTTAATAGTCTATCTTCGATATGATTATTATTGTCGATTGTATACCTATGGTAGAAAATTGCAAAACGACAAAATCGATTGCCTTGTCAAATAGCTCAGATTATCGTCACGTGATCGCTGAAAATTATTGAAATTATTAACAAAGCGGTTGACTGCACTAGTCACATTATACATGTAGCCGCATATTGCGCAACATATGAGTTTTTAATGAATTTGCACGAAATATTAATTTGCTAATACGTTAATAAATCGATTCGACATCGTAGGCAGATTATATGAATTTAAATATATATTTCTGCGTATAAAATATGAGTGGATTAAGCAAAATTACAATACGGCGATGTCGTTCGCAGATATTGCAGGTATACGAAGTAAAACGATGCTAATTCGCATATTATCGCAACTGCCGTTTTTGCATTGGTTTAAAAAAAAAGTATTAGCGTTTTTCGAATTTTTCACTGATTTATTCAACTAGATTTAATATGTTTTGCATAATTTAAACTTTGTTATCCTATATCCTACGTTTCATTTCACATGATGTACATCATGATTAGTTTTACCTCCCTGAATATTTCGAATTGTCGACAATCAGATAAGAATTAAATCTAATAATATTATAATAATTAAATTACGGTTGAATTATGATATTCACTGAACATTTATTTTTGACCGATATTTCTCTTTGCAACATCCATCGTTTCTGTTTATCTTCTTGTCGTTCCTTATGTCACCATTTGCCATTTCGTTTGCTTTGATAAATTCAACCTTCAATCCGGAGTTCTCTCAGGCGAATTTCTTCACTTGGTGAGAAAGGCGCTCGGTCGCGCCTCTTGCCGAGAAATAAAGTTGCCAGTTCTTACGTTGAAATCGGCTGTTATTTCAGGATTTCGTTGTTCCCCGAGGTGGCGAGCATCCAGCTGCACGTCGAGCGCGGCAAATGCGAAATGTTTTCCGAAAAGCGACGCGACCGACATACGTACTGTATTCTACAGTATGGTATCGTAATGCCGTTGCTGTATCTCCGGGATCCTGACGTGTTTACCGTGAGATATATTCAATACCGCGCCCGAAGTGACGCGAATTTCACTGCCGACCGACCAAACGTCCCGTTTAATCGAATGCAACTTGGATCGTTCCATGCAGTTAGGCGTATCATTCGATATTCGTTGGGCAACAGCAAGAATCTCGACCGGGTAAGGTAGATACTTTTTGACGCTCCGAAGGTTCCTGTGCGCTTCTGTACGCTTCTGTACGCTTCTGTGCGCGCGTTCATTCGCCCGCATTTCGGAAAATTACGGAAAACACGAGTCTGTGTATTTGGCTCGCAACACACTCGGCGTTTATCCCTTTCGCTAATTTTACTTTGCTGGAAAATTGCGTCGTCTTACTACACAAAGTACACTGAGGGCAAAATCTTATCTATTTAAGTACTCGTCGCGTGCAACAGAAATTTCAGAGAAATCTCCTAATTATTAATTGTTTCATTATAATCTCTGTTATTATATTTCGCAATATAATAATAATAATAATAATAACAATAATAATATATAGCAGTCTAATGATGATAAATAGCATGTATAGTAAAATATGTAAAGATACATATTTTACTATATACGCTTGTCTTTATACGAGCCGAATAAAGATTTATAAGGAAACAGGATCTTACACTGGTACAAACAAGGTCACCACACGCGTATTATTCTTTCATTTATTCAAATTTTATGCCCGACGCTTCACGTTCGCGTTGAAATAATAAGTTCGTTATCTCCTGGCTGGGCAGAGTAGTCTCTCGATTTCTCACAGTAAACGTTTGAAGCCGCATAATCGCGGTCCCTGTATAATTAATATCTGTCTACCGATGTTATTTTCCGTGAGGAAAACTGTGAGAAAATTTCAAATTTTTCATTGAACGATTCTCATTTTCTGTGCCATAAATAATACCGAAAATGACCTTTATCTATAAATATTCTAAATAATCATTAACTCAGAGCAATTAGATGTTAATTCAATATTAATAACAAAAACGATTTGATTTGATATTCGTTAAATTTGATCCATTTTCTTCGTATTCGTATTATACTGCTATTCTTTGAAATTATCAATTACATACTTCGCCTCTTTCATTCTCTCAAAGTCGCTGCGTAAGAGAAATTGATCCGTAAAAAAAAAAAACTAGGCAAAAATATTCCGTTTGAGGGACACATTGCACACATCATGCACGAATATAAAACTAGTGCATTTTCAACGACTTGTGTTATTAGTTTTTCACCCACACTCGACACCGAAATGTAATAGACATGCAAACGGCCGTAAATAAAAACGGCCAGCGGCGCTTATTCGCGTGAAGGGCTATTCTCATTTTGTACGTAAGTAAACGAAATAAAGATTATGTCTGATACGGATGTGTTTGCACGAGGATGAGGTGTCCACGTGCTGTGCGTCGCGCAGCGAATGGCTGTGGATGGACAGAAAATGAGCTGGTTTTACGAGTATACATAAATCCATTGCTGTTTGTCTTACACGTCTTGCAGCTCTGTTTGGATAGTATCAGGCAATCTTCTGTGCCCAGACACGCATGTTACGCCTTTTTCGCGAATTGACTCGACTGACAATAAAGTTGATACACCACCGAAAGTCGCATGCCACCTGTTATTTCGATTCGTCCATCGAAATCGCGTAGAAGAAATTTGGGCGAGCTGCGGCCTGTGCTACATTGATTTAAGATTATAATTGCAATTCGTTCGCGGGCTTTAATACATTCGCACTTCCGATGCCCGTTCATTCACTTCCGATGAATGGATCAATGGACAGATTTGCAAAACATGCTTTTGTTTCTGTTCTCATAATCACGGAAATCGATTTGGCAGTAGCATCCGTTCCCCACTCTCTTTTCTTTTGGCAGCCTTCCACGATCGACATATAAATAAGACCAAATATATGATCCTGTTTTACTATTTCATGATAGAATATCTTTGAGATAAATCAATTGACTCTCGATTGATTTGAATAAAAACGAACTATAGAGTCTAATAGAAATGAAATTAGATAAATACGAATATATGCGCAATGCAAATATGTTTTTACAAAATTGGTTGATCAATGTACGATAATAATTAAACGTTATTAGTGTTAATTAAGAAATTGTATGTCGACAAATATAAGTATTAAATTTTCAACGAAATAATCATTTCTCTTTACTTCTCTTGAGAAATTTTGAAACAAAATCTTTTTTTCGTCAATTTTTAGCACAATGTCAAAATATTATTCGCGCGTTTTAAGATACACCTTTAAGATATAGAGGTATTTCAATATCGTATCGTTCATCGCACATCGCGCATCGACAAGCGATGGCGTGGCGCGTCGCTTCGGGGTGCGGTCGCCGCAACAGACGCGGGCATGAAATTCAATCAAAATCAAAGGGATAAGGTGTATCGGAGCGTGAAAGCAAACGCGCCTGGGTGGCTCTGGTGGATTCCTTGTGGCCGGAAAATGTTTCGCGTCGCGGTGGATCGATCGGGGCGACTTTATTATCGGAGGAGAATTTCAGTCAGTTCCCCCGAGACGATTCCTAGGGGTTGTTCCTCCCGTTCCTTATCGGTCGTAGCAACCGCAGGTTTATCACGTTCGAAGGCTATCATGGCATCCTCCGCGAGCACATGAATCATTATGAACGTGCAAAGTCGCGATTATGATTACGAGTAGCGTAGCTATCTTGCCACAGCCTGATCGTTTAATCGATTCCACTCGTGCAATCTCTTATGAGGTCTCTTTGCCAAAAGTATCGGAAGCGTTGACGAAATATTTAAAGAGGATGATCCAGAGACGCATCTCGGTCCGTTGGACTAAGCAAGCTTTCGCGGAAATCCACACGCGTAATCCTCCAAGTGCAAAGTGAAAAGTAGTTCAGATAAAACGAAAGTGTAAAACTCGTAAACGGATTCTCGTAAGACTATTTTAAAGATAACGATAACAATATTATTCCAATTAGGAAACGTGGCGAAACGAATAATATAGCGTTTCAGAACTTGTTTTATCACATTTGATATCCTTAATAAGATAACACGTACCTATATGTATACGAAGTGCTATTTCTGCGAGAATACATCGGTGCAGAAAATACATATTCCGAGAAGTAAGATCATCGGATGAATTATCAATACATGAACGTCTTTACGCTGATAAATCTGGGTCTTGCTAATCGCACGGGGTATTATCAATATCTTCCTCATGGAGGGCAGCTTACGTGAGAGAAAGGACGAAGGGACTGACGGAATGATATTTCGAGGAATTAGGGAGTCCCTCTCGGCTCATTTACGGTCCAGAACCCTTCGAGGCTGCACGCGTTAGTCACGCACGACGGAGTTCTCTTTAAGGCTCGCGAGCGAACGTTGTTTCTACGTACCCAGGCGAGTCCCAAAGCTCTCGGTCAGGGCTTAATGCGCCTAATGGAACCTCCTGAGTGCCGTTACCAATTTTGCCGCGACTCTCACGATTTAGCGGCGAGCCAGCCAACCAGGACATTATCAAAATTTATTGGCCGGTCAACCGTTCGCAAACAGTCGCCGCCACCACCGTCGGAATGTTTTATGATCTCCCTTTGTGCGCGCGCACATACTTAATTCGTTCGCCAGAAAAACTTTGTTATCATGTTAAAAACTAAAAAGATATGGAAATTCTGACTTCGAGTATACCAATGAAAGATGCGATTCCCAAGAGACTCCATTATAAATAAATATTAAAATAAGAAAAAAAATAAAATATGTTTTTCAATCTGACAGTTAATTTGTACTTGGTTTTTAAACCATTAGTAAATACTTTGTTATTTTAAACGAAAATATTTTTTAAAAAATTTTTAGAAGAATATTAGCATATCGAATTTAAGCATATGAGCTTAAATTCAAGTTTTTAAAACATATTTTTGGTTAGCTTAGCCATAAACGCGTGTGCTCTGTATGATATATTAATTATAATAAATACCCGTACATAAACATGTACAATACTCTGCGTGCAGTATTCTTATTATGAACGAGTAAATATTATCTTTTATCTCTCTTTTTGACGGTCGAGATAGTGAAAATATTTCAGTCGGGACAAGAGAGCGAGAAAAGAGTGCCTCGCCTCGGAAGATGCAAATACCGCTCGATTAATTCTTAGCTACGGAAACATTTCAAGCTGCTCAACATTCTTGTATGACAGCAGGTGGTTAAGTGCGCCTATCGTCCTCTATCAGTGCTCTAATCGGAACTGTTCGACTTCCTGGAGTTCCAGGCGAAGTACCTAATTAGGGACGACCTTCGCCGACGCCTGTACGACCATTTATCACGCATCTCTTCGCTGCTATTACTCCGTGGCGAAATTCGCGAGAGGCAGATTTCATCTCAGATAGCCACTAGGAATTTCTGCTATTCGTATTGTCATCAGTTTTCGAAATTACACAGATTGAAAAGAACGAAATGATTAATTTATAATAGACAAGTTTTGTTTTAGAAAAAAATTCTATCATTTCTTCAATATTTTATTAAAAAATGATTTACTTTTAAAGTATAAACTTAAATTTTTTCATTAAAGTTTTTATAATTAATCCTAAAATGTCTCCTGTACTTTTTTGTAGACACTATTATATTACATTTTTTATATATTAATAAAATAACCATTTAATAAAAAAATTTTCTCATAATTAAAATGTCTGTGAAATAATGATACAACAGATTACGGGTAATTAAAGGAGAAAATGAAATTTTCTCTTATCTAAAACATAAATCGTTAGAGCATTACGTATTTATTTTAAATTGTTGTTTATAGAACATTAATAACAAAAAAATTCTAGGATGTAATAACAACGACAGCAGCAGCGACAATAATAATTTCGAACAACTGTGTACGCAATAAACATGACGAAGAAAGACGGAAGTTTCAGCCAGCGTTGAAAATTTCATCTCGCGGAAACTTGGTCTCGCGGCAGCAGCGGCGGCGGCGAGGCAGAAACTTATTCGACGCGTTGCCTTCCGTGATATTAGAATATATCTCGGGAAGTAGGATCATCATTAATTATCCGTGCGCAAAGTCAACGTTGGCCAGAGTCGCGCGCGTCAGTAATATATCTAGGTCTCGCTAATCGTGCGATATTGCAGCGTCGTCTGCGTATTATTCGTTGCGCGTAAACTTCACACGCTTAAGCTCGGGGGTATTTCGATTCTCGTAGCAGTGCGATTATCGTAGAAATGTGTGAGAATAATGAATCGGGTGGTATAGAATTATATATCGAACTTACCGCATCGTTGTGATTCCAGAAAATGTAGGCGGGTGGTTCTGGACTCTGCAGGACGACGCACGTGAGATTGATAGTGCTACCTCGATTGATGAACAATTCCGGCGCACCCAAAATCTCGGTTTTTGGTTCTGAAAAGTAAAAATGAGACTTTTTTTTATACGAATAATTTTTTGTACCCGATTTATCCCAGGCTATCGCGAGTATATTTATGCCGAAAGATAGACAGAGAGAGAGAGAGAGAGAGAGAGAGAGAGAGAGAGAGAGAGAGAGAAACTAGGAACTTTTAGCTACAGACTACTTGTACACATGTAAGGGTGACTTATTAGCGGGACTATTTTGCCGGCGGAAGAGAACAGTTAGGTGCCGTAATAAGTTACGGTCGTGTAATTAAATATTACATTACACGAGAGTAAGGGGAAGAAATATTTCGTGTTTTTCTCCCTACGTCTCTCTCCCTTGGCAAACGAGGGCGCGTAACTCTTGCCCGGATTAAATTCACGAATCCGAGTACGGAATTACGTCTGCGCTTAGAATCCTTATTTCATGCAAATGTCAGACAGTTATCGTGGAACACTTTCCAGCAATACGTTATGATTTCTCAGTGCCTCGACCGAGCCGCCTTCTTCGCGAGTGTATCGCGGAATGAAGACGGCCGCGCGCGCTCTCGACTTTCTTCCGCATTAAACTTCAGAATCCGTATACGCGGGATCCGTATCGCGCGCGTCTCATGACTTTATGTGCGCTTTATGTAAATAACGGATATTTGTCACGTCGCGCTTCGGGGCGACAGTTTACCATGCCGACGCAGAAAGCAACTTAGCCTCTCGCGCGCCGGATTAAATCTAAAGATTTAAAGATGAGATTCCGTCGCAACTCAGAATTTTACGTTTCTTTCATGTAAATGTCTCCTGGCTCGACGCGTCTTGTTTTTGCGATTCTTCAACCACGCGTTAGCTTATAAAAAGCACAATGACGCTGGCAGGATAAGGGGTGGGTTCCACCTTTTAACGCAAAACGTAATACTGAATCTTATTATTCATATCACCGCAGAGAATCTAGGTACGTGTTTGCAAAACGAAAAGGCAACATTCATTACCGTCAGCATTATAAAAACAACAAAGTTAATCCTGTATATCTTTTTATCTCGAATATTCCGTGGGAGAAAACTTGTCCCACCTCTATCATAAACGCCGCGTTTGGATAACAAAGTCTATTTTCTGATAGTTCGTACATCTTATGTATTTGAAGTAAACACCTTTGCTATTATAGTTTAAAAATTATAAACATTATTTAGCAATTTACATTGAAATTTAAAAAAACATTTATGACTTTTTTAGCGATTCAAAAATATACATCACATACAGGAATATCTTTTTTTAATGTTTTAGATGCTAGAATAATATAATCGCAATGTATAAATTTTTGCACATTATTCGACGTAATCTGTTATACGCTATCGGAAAAGATCGCAATAAACTTGTCCAAATTCACATTCGAAATTCAAATTCGGAAATCAAAGCAAGAAGATTGCGCCGTCGTGGCTTAGGACGAGCGACTATCCCTCGGCTAGGGAATCGACACACACACAACGAGATCGTTATGGGAAGTTGAATCAGGGGTTCACATCTGTCGGGAGAATTATGCAGAATTACACGCGGTGATCCCGGCGGGCAGGAATTATCCCCGGAAGTCTCCTCTATATCGGCCGCCTGCCACCCTTTTATACCGCCCTCCGATAATAGTCCGTCAGGGTGAATCGGCCGAGATTGCGCGCGCACGTCGGGAATTTATTTATAATGCCGAAAAATGCCGACTATATGTTTCGGTATACCTGGATATTTATAGTCCACGTTCCGACGAACTGACGGACAGACGAACGACGAGTGAACGGTCTGTTTTGTATCCTTTTGTGGTGCCGAAGAGTGATGCGGTTGACCTGGCCTCTGTGCCTGCCTTCGAAAGAGCACTTTGAGGCGCTTCATATATATAGGGAGTATCCGGTATCTGTTACTGCGGCGGCGAGACGAACTTGTTCCCGCTACGCGTACGTGTGCGCGCACGTGAATGTGTGCATGCGCGCGTGCACGTATATTATGGGGGAGAAATAGGAGGAGAGGTCAGCCGCGATAGATCGATGTGAATATTTTCTGGGCGGCCTCCTCCTCGAGGATTGACCGAAATAACTGTCGGGCAGCGTGCTTTACGGCTTTTGTGCAACGGATGATACCCAGGGACGATGGTTAACCCCTTCCGAGTGGTTAACGGGTACCGAGACATTCCCTCTGTCTTCGTTCCTACGTTTGCGCTTTCTCTTTTCTCCACGCTGTGCGGAGCTCTTCCTTCCGGATTTCTCGCTGAATCCGGATTTCGACTTTAAAACTTTCCGACGTTTATTTTTAAGTCTACGGCACTTCGTTATATCTCGCGTCCTCGTCGCCTGCCTTCTCTCCGTGATTTTCTTATTCCTTCCATTTTTCCTTCGCTCGTCCAATACATGCTTTATATGTCCATTTATTTTAAAATTCTCAAGTGTCGAAATGCGCAATGATATGATACTGTAATATTTAGATACGCTTTTTTTACTCGTGTATCTCATTAATCCAAATTTTTTCATTAACACACGTATCTATTTTAATTTGTCAATTAACTTATATTATTAATTATATTTACCTTTCTACAATTAATATAATTACTACATCTATTTTAAATTTTCAGCAAGTTGAGAGGACGCTAGATTGCATCTACCAAACTCCGCTTCGAGTTCGTGTTTTATGGTAAGTAAATTCAATCATTTATATGCGTACATTTTTCCGATCTTTCGATTTTTTTATTTTCTTGTCGCGGTGACATAGCCTATATAGGAGAGTTGTGAAAGCGGCGTCTATGAACTGATCGATAACATGAGTGTACGCGAAACGCTTTAATGTCGGTTAACCGCGAATGAAAGCTGACCTCGTCAGACGTGAACCTCCGAGCTTCGATCAGACCCTTCAACGAGGAGTTCCCGAAACTCTCGATTCGCTTGCGGACTCATTACGGCCGCGGCCCCATTTTAAATAAACGCAAAGGGATTAGTAACGTCGGATCGTAGACACAGCTATTTCTCTAACTAACCATGATCATTATTCGTATTTTCCCAAAGTAGTTCGACGAAAGCATTCGCAAAGATCATTGTCCGTCGACAGACATTTTATGCTCTTTAGTAAATTTTCGTTGATACTTATTCATAAATCGTCTAGTCTAGAATTGATTTTGACGCAATTTAAATATGATCTATGATGAAAATAAAAATCGATCTCTTTTTTTTATGAATAAATCGAATGTGATTGTTCGGATTCACATTACACAAATTTACATGTTTATTGTAAACAAAAAAAATTTTGACACGTGAAAACCGTTTCGATAACAGCGTCATATGTAATTGAAAGAGAGAGAGAGAGAGAGAGAGGGGGGGGAGGGAGAGGGAGAGGAGAGAAGGAGGGGAAAGGAGTAGGAGGCAATGTCCCGCATAACGCTCTCATTTGAAACTTTATTAAAGAAGTTTGTCACGCGATTTTGCGACACGGGTGCTCAGATGAATAAAAGATGTCGATAGACGACGGGAGTAAAATGTAAACTAGGATAAGTTGAACGTCTTGAAGCGTCGTTCAAGAAGCATTCGCGAAGAGCATCGTCTCGAGAAATCGATTTTGTCTTTGCTTCTCGTGCGACGCGTTTCGGAACTGGCGCGTTTTGGATTCGGGTTAATGTAATAGCGTTTCATAGTTCTGATGAATAAACGCGAATAGAATTCTGAAGCTGCAGAAAAGCTATGTAACGTACCAGAAAGAATCAATTTTATTCTACATGTAGAATAAAATATCAAATTGAAAAAAGATACAAATTAGAATAATAAAATTATAATTACATGTTTTTAATAAAAATTTGCAAAAACTGACATAGTAGAACACTTCGATAAATTTAAATGGAGAGTATTGTGTCGATGGATAGTTTCAAGATTTCTAATAATTATTAAAAGAAGGAAAAATTTGATTAAAAGTATTAGTAATATCATAAAAAAAAAATAATACTACAAAATCTTAAAGATCTTATAGATTCAAGGATTAGCAGAAAATTCATTGAGAAAACTTGCTAAAACTTCTTTTATATTACGATCAAACTTCTTTGTATAAAAGAATCAGCGATTTACAAGTGCAAAAGCAGACTCTTCCTGATATCTTCTTTTTCCTTAAAATGAACATGTTTTTTCATCCTTACGAAAATTTGATCTTGCATTTAGCAATGTATTTCTAAGGCACGTTGGATCATTTCCAGGAACCCGTAAGACCTTTATCCGCTCTCTCGATTTACCTATTACGACCGATCGATCCGATCGAGTACGTTGCCGATACACACGTCAGTCGTGTGAGAGCTTCGCATTCAGAGTCCGTATTTGTCGAACGCGTAGAATACACTCGCTCCCGATGCTTGACCTAAATAAAGCACAATCGTGAATGCCCGTTCCTTCCTCCTCGCTTGCGGTTTCAGCAAGGTGCAAACTGCATCCGGTCAGTTCGATCCAGTCGATCTAGTTCAGTTTACATCTCGGTCTTGGAAAACGCGCGATAACAAATGGCGTACTGTCCGTTGCATCAATTCAATCCTGTACTTTTCTCGTCGCATTCACTTTATATACTTTGGACTAGCAAAGCGAACTTGAGATAAATGCAGTCACATGTATTTGATGATTACGTATTTTACATGTTTCACGCGTACACATGTTTCTCTTCCTCTTCTCTTTCGCTTGTTAATTATTGAACAAGCACGCGAGATTATAAGTTAATTTTCGTATAAAATTCAAACTGATTTTTTAAATTTATACAAGTATCTATTATAAACGTAAAATCACATTATTTTTTTTTGTTAGACATTGTTAAACTTATACGGATAAGCGAGTCTTTCGGATAGAATGTTTTAAAGATCGGAAAGACCGATGCAAATTAGAATTCTGGTTCAAACCGATCCTTTGTAAGCGCGATTGAACTGTATCGAAACTTAAGGGTATGCAGTGTACTTTCTGCTTTACGAATACGACGAATGGTCGCGCGTTGAACGAGATGCTAAATTGCGTTTAGGTGACCCGATTTTACGGTGGTGTATGTGTCTGCCGAATTCAGCAATTCGATACAAATAGATAGTGATTTTGGGCGAAATAGGGAGACGCGCGATCGACTAGAACGAGTGACTACAGTTGATACGTTGGTCGAAGCGAAAAGCGCCGTATATGAAACGAAGATCTGTTTCTCGCGCTACAACGAACTAAAGTCTTGATCTAATTTGCGAAATAAATCTTTACATTCGGTCATTCTCGCAACCGTTTCGTCAGCAATTTCTCTCGTAGTGTTCTTCATCTCGTTACTTTCTTTCTGAAAATCTGAAGCGTTTCAGTCTTCAAAAAAAGTCCCGAGATGTATAATTTCATGATTGTGGCTTTGTGTTTTTCTATCAAAATTAGAAAAACAATAAAGAAAAATCGATTAACGTTGGAACTAAACTGGCAAAGTTGAATGAGGGTCTATCAAAATATTAATATATCATAATCGATTATCGATTTTTAGTCATTTATATATTATATTATGAAAAGTGATGTATATATTACACCACTTGTGATATTTACAAATTTTGAGTCAAATATTATAGAAAAGTAACGTACCGAAACCTATTATATACCTATAACATACCAAACTTATGAGTGACCTCGCTGGTAAAAACAGGGAGTCGCATTACGAATTATGATACTCGCATCGGCTATGCCTGTCGAAAGTGGGTCGCTCGAGTACATCCCACTGGGAGTAAATTGATTCTACGCTCGGGGGAGGAATACGATAAATGCAAATCGTCGCGTTCTTCTTTTGCCCCGATGGAAACGCCCCAACTAGCCCGGATCGGACCCGCACTTTCGATAGCTCGAATGTCGCTCCCCATGCTACCGTCGCGTCCGTCGAAACCATGTTACACCTCCGTCGGATACCATCATCGTGGAATGGCGCCCGGGGTCGACTCCTTCTCTCGTTCTCACGCGCCACCGCGACGGAATGCAAACTGGTTATTTCTTGGTCGTCCGTTCGAGGTCGAGTCGGTAGATAGAGACAGGAGCGTAGGACAGGGACTGTACATAGCGAGAGTAAGCAAAATGTAGAAGCTCATGAATACAGATTTGCACGAAGAATTTTATTCACTTCATTGAACGAGGATAAATTAAATTCGATCAAAGTTTCGTCTTTCCCTGTCTTCACCGTTATTCATACGAAAAGTCTTATCGATCCTTGGACCCGTATTTATAATTATTACACAATTTCCATTAAGTTTAGAAAATTAGGTTTAAAAAACTTTGGAGATGCTTGTATACAAAAAATTTCTTATCTTAAATATAGACAGTTTAAAAAGATCTCTAAATATTGCTTACGCGATACTTAAACTCTTGGAAATTTAAAAACTAATTATATAAGCACAAACTTCAGATTTTATTTAAAAATATTTAAGAAGGAAAAATTAAATAATTACTAATTTAAAAAATAATTCTCTATGTTATAGTCTATAGATAATTTATCTTTATTTCACATAAATAGTATTGTACAAGATACAATGTTGCCTCAATTTTCATTATTTAAGATATAAACACTATGAAGAAATAAATTAGAGTATTTGTAACAATTGTAATTCGTATTTTAAAGAATCTTTAATCGCGAGATCGGGAGCTTGAAAACAGCTGATAATCCCAAGATGTTTAAATGGGACAATCCTGCTTATTTTTCGATATGGCATTCGACTGGTAATGCTCTGCTATCAAATAAACATCAATACGGTAGTTCTGGATGAAATATTTAATGTATTACAAAATAAATATGCGAATATTCTGTGCTTCGTGTATTTCTCATTAATTAATTTAAATGAGATGTTATTACATATTTTTTGCTTCGTTTTGTGATTTGGTGATTAGCGTTGTCTATGATAACGATTAATTTTGTTTGATCGAGCGAGCGTGTACATTCTGGAATGAGAATATCGTTACCCGAATCTTGCATATATTAATATATAAATCAATCAAATTGATACAAATTCTTTTGTAAATTAGAATTCAAGTAACAGTATTTCTAGAACTAGCTCAAACGGTATTAATCGTTATCTTATCAACGAATACTTCGATAATATAACTCTGTTGACGCATGGCCTTAGTGTTTGTTATTTATACGTACAGCTGTTATGTTATATATGTCGCACTGTGTTTGCGAGGACGTTGTGCTACTATTTTCACGCAAAAATTCGAACCGGTAGGTAGCATCGCAAACTGCTCCGTATGTACATGTGTCATCGCGTTACCTTGAAACAAGATTGCGACAAGTGCCAGAAGAAAGGAAATACGACGGTGCCGTTTGCACTCATTAAAATTTTTTCATTTTCATATATCACAATTTATTCATAATTTATTTTGATTGCTTGTTTGATTCCGTTTGATCGTGTCGCTTGCTAAAAGACACTATTGTATAATGGAAATCGCGCATCTTTAAGCAAAGATCAAAATTCCCATATCGCGATCATCTCTACGATCGCGATTGGTCCCCACATGGAAAAGCAATTTTTACAGCGGATGTCGAACTTCCGCTAAGAACATTCGTCGGATTGGACGATCATGAGTCTGAACGGATTTGACGCTTTTTTCTCGTGAGCCATTTGGACCGAGATCGGGTCCCCTAGACGGAAGGATATCATCGATAAAAGCAGGTTTTCGCTGGCA